GCAACGCGAGCTAAGGGCATTGCGCGCGCGCGCCAAAATGCCATCCTTGGGTTCAATAGCCAATTGAATTCTGTCTGCATGAAAGTATATTCAAACTCTACTGAAATGTTAACTCTCCTTCTTTGGAAAGGTGTTCCTATTCAAGTTCTGGTTAAATCTAATTATGTTACGTATTGTGGTGAACTATGCCCTTTGTAAGTTCTGTCCAACATTCAGCTTCAATTCGGAGCAATTGGGAACGAATCTATATTTGGACATGTTGGAGGACTCCAGGCTCCAAATTATGAGGCTTGGAGAACCCAACGTTAAACATTTCAAGGATAGAAACCAGGCTTCCGGTGTTTCAAACTGGACATCTCAAAAGATTGGAGGTCTAACAAAATGCTGGGAAAACACAGTGTTTTGCAGAAATTGCTCAGATTGTGTTCCCTTGGGTTGCAGGTTGTTTTTCCCCAAACAACATTTTGCCCTCAACTCGGCTTAAAGTCTTATTTGGAAAGGAATCTATATTTGGACATGTTTGGAGAGAATCCAACGTTAGACATCTTGACCATTCTGATCTCTAGATTCTAGGTTTCAGCTGTTCCAAAATGGAAACGTCAAGGGGTTGGAGGTCCAACGAAATGCTGAAGAACCAGTGTGTCGCAGACATTGCTCAGATTGTGTTCCCTTGGCCCGAAGACTACTGTTCCCCACACAACATTTTTCCCCTTCAACATTCCACGAACGTTCAATTCGGAATAAAGTCTTATTTGGAAAGGGATTTATATCTGGACATGTTTGGAGGACTTCCGACTCCAAATTTTTAGGCTTGGAGAATCCAACATTAGACGTTTCGACCATTCTGATCTTCGGATTCTAGGTTTCAGCTGTTCCAAAATGGAAATGTCAAGAGGCTACAGGTCCAACATGTAAATGCCAACATTTGCACTGAACATTTACAGCCCACGACCACACAAGCACCAGCAACTTGCAGCATTTGTCACCTTGGCGTGTTGTGAGTTGCATGTGCTTGGTTGCTTGTCTGACCGAATCACAGTGGTGAATCACCTTGGCTGTGACGGCTCGGAAGCTTTCAGCCCGGGTAGCGGAACGAATGCTAAAAACCAGTGTTTTGCAGACTTTGCTCAGATTGTGTTCCCTTTGACCGAAGATTGTTTTCCCCAAACAACATTTGCCCCAAACAGCAGTATCCATTTGATACGCATTAAAGGAAAGTTTATGAACTTTCTTGAGTGTTTGGCGGTTTCCTGCAACAAGGCGACAGCCTGGGAAGTCTTCATGGTCATGGTATCCTTGAAGTGGAAGTCTCAGCAATGAGACGTGACTCAACCAACTTTAAGAATTTTAAAGACTTCTCCCCCCCCCTCCCCTGCCCCTGACTTCTCAACCCCCCAGGTGCCCAGGTGTTGCCTTGTTGCAGCGAATCCGTCAAACCCTTGACATAGCTAATAGAAAGTTAAGGAAAAACTCTTCGCTGTTGGTACTCAACATGACTTGTCACCCGCACAGAATATGCAACAACAGCACACTTCTTGCGTATATGTGCTCGCCCCATGTCTTTGAAATAACAGGACTTTGGACATTTGAAGTGGAAAGGTAGGCATTGCGGGGGGGGGGGGGTGGCGGAGGGGAGGGGAGTGAGCATACATATATATATATATATGCATATATACATACATATGTAAATGTACATGCACATATATATATATAATATATATGTATATATACACGCATACATATATATATATATATATACATATGTATCTATGCACCATCAACGGGAAGTAACAGCCCCGACCTGGATAGCCATGACCACGCAAGGAGTTTTGACCATTGCACATATCAAAGGACCTACTTGTGCTTGCTATGATATGTAGGTCTCCGCTTGCAGCCATGAGCCTGGCCCACAGCAGTTTTGATCATAGCTCATCTGGGGAGATTGATCTTTCGGATGTTGGGATTTTTACTCGAACAGGCTGCAAAGGTGATCAAACCCGAAGGGCGCCTCGGTTTTCTTGAAGGGATGATAATCCCAGCAACCCCCCCGCATTGGGCGTTTGATTCCCCTTGAAATCGCCAAGAGTCGGCCAAGTAGAAACTTGGCGAACTGCCTCCCAGAAGCTCTGCTGCCGCGGGTCCAGCTTGCAAGAGGGCAACGGCTTTGCTCCACCGAATCTGTTGATATCAGAAGACGCACCCTTTTGCCTTGAGGGAAGGCAAGCACCAAGAAAGGGTGCCCTTGTTTTCCCGTTGCCGCTAGACTTCTGAGATCGTATGAAATCACGGGCAAAAGCAGCACCGACATTTCCGCGCCCAGTTTCATGTGGGCAACTTGAGGCGGGGTGTCTCCTCTTCCCTCCAGGTGTTTTTTTTGTTTCAACGAGAGGGCCAGGATCTATCAACTGGCACGTTCGACCCATCGCGGACGTGTGTCCAACGTTCGCCTGGCGCCGCGCCGAGGCCGGCTCTGGGCGCTGGCGCTGGCGCTGGCGGGCTTGCTCGCGCCCTTCGTCGGCGCCCTGCGTGCGGAGAGAGACCTGCGGGGGTAACTACTGTATGGGCTGGGGGTAGGCATAGGCTGAGTTGTTTCAACTCTTTTTGGGGTGATATAGTTTAAAGGGAAATCAAGAGGAAACCGGAAAGTATTTGGGTCCACATCTCTCTGATAGATACAAGTGTGGGAGTTTCAAATGGTAGATCCTTGTTTGAAGGGACGCCAAAAGGGCCAGCATCCACGTAACAGGGATAACATCTAGGGAATCCACTCAGAAAAAATGGAGGTCGCTCACCAAGCTTCCATGTGGATTGGGGGCACACTGAATAATTATATTGTCAGTTTGTCAAAGGTTGGATCTCCCTTGGGAATTGGTAGCAACCAAACTCTTGACGTCCGTGGGTCAGCTGATTAGTTTTCCTGGGAAAGAGCTTCTTGGCAGCATTGTACATCACCAGCGCTACTTTTGAATTGGGATGGGCATTCGGTCTGAAAGATTTCCACGAATGGACCAGACATGGAAGTCTTAATTTTGGGTTCGTACCAAGGGAACGATGCGAGCCCTGCGACAGCTTTTTGGGCCACACACGACATCTACCAAAGCGCAACCTGCAACCTTCCCGATACGGCGACTGTTCAGGTGCAGACAACTCTGTGACTCTGTGGGCGAAAGAGGGTGCCAATGCTCAACGGTAGACTCCCAAAACCATGGGTCACCGTTTCAGCTGTTTTGGTTGAAAATGCATGGATTTCACTGGTGTGAGTTTGCTTGGAATCCTGCACCATCACCCTCTATTTTTCTAAAAGCACAAGGTTCAGAAGGAGACCTTGTAGGATATGACTTGTTGGGTGACCTTGAATAACGACGCCGCTTGGGTCGCAACCCCCCTCTTTCCTCATGGTGGGGCCCAAACAAAGATTGCCGCATGTTGTATACACGATTCCCGTACGGACGCAGGAGGCCAATTACGACATCATGACGACACCTTTTCAGCAACATGTACGCACGAGGAGCCAAACTTCGGTACATGGACAGGAAACAGTCAGAAAACGTGCTTTTGAGTGTCCTCACCCACAAGCTTTTGCCCTTTGGTTCCTTTACTTGCCCTTTTGACCAGCAAACCGTTGCCCACTTTCAGCAGGTTGACGCCTTGCAAAGTTCCACCCGTCAACTCAGTTTGGCCGTTCGGATCTCGCGGCTGAGGCGCCGCTCTTTGCCGGAGGCCAAAGCGGGATGGAGCCAGGGGTGCCGTTTGTTGGGGTGTTGTGAAGTTGGTACCTTGTTCTGTGGTTTTGAAAAAGACACCAGAAGGAGAGCCACTGTTTGGGGTGGGTTGGTCTCTACAAAAGGCACACCCATAAAGAATGCAAACTAAGGATCCAGGGAGAGACCGCAGATGTGGTTGTTGCGTTTCTTCTGCAAATTGCGAGGGATTGGTACCCGACTTTTCTGAAAACGGTTAGGTAGGGACGATCATGGACTGGAGGCAATTGAGCAACCATTGTCAGGGCTTCCATCAAGAGAACCGTGGCCGTGACCCCAAGGGATTTTGACCACGTAGGTGGAAGTGTCGCGGACGTCCAGCGGTGCCCTTCATTGGAAATCAGAAAGGCTTCCTTGTATCAGCCAACAAAAAGGGCGCGCTTGTCTCCTTTTGTTGGAGGGTCTTCCTTCTAAAAACCCGACCAGAAGGGCGCCCGAGCCTCTCCCGTGGAACCCCCTCCAAGTTCCGTGGGTCTGTGAGGCCCAGTGGCAGAGACCGCAAGTTCTTTCTGTGCGGCCTGGCTACAGGCGCGGCCGTGGCCACAGTGTCCTTTGGCTGCTTTTTCCAGACGTCTTGCTTTCAGTGGCTCCTTGAGGTTCTCAATTGAAGGGACAAACCTTTCGGGGCAGGGAAGCAAAGGCGAACCACTCATTTTCTTGGAGACCGAATGGGATATGCGCCCCCCCCGCTTGATTACCCCCCCGCCCAAAACAAATGGAAAAGATAAAGAAGGAGAACCAAGTTGCCCGGTCCGCGTCGGTGTCTTCTTGTTGGGACGATCCTGGTTTTTCGAATCTCCAAATCAAAGAAGAGGTTCAGGGCTTTGTTGTTTTGGATCACTTCGCCTCATATCCTGAGGCTCGCTGCAATCTCAGGGTCGCATACAACAGATACTTAGAGTTGAGGGACGACTCTTCTTGTTATTCATCCTATGCCTCCTCCTTCACTGGCACTTCACATCTTCTTCGGTTTCCTGCTCCACCGCCACCGTCACTCTCTCTTCAGCTTTTACTTTTACTTTCTCACTCACTTCCTGTTTCACTGCCCTTCCTTCCACTTCCTGCTCCTTGCCCTGCCAATTTCACTTCCTCTTTGCTTAATATTTCCGATTCTCTTATACCCTGGCCCCGACTTTCACTTCCACAATATATCCTCTCCACTTCTCCCACTTCAACATCCACTCTTCCAGCTCCTCCTGCTTTCGCTCCTTCTGATTTTGCGAATGAGTTGACTTGGATATGGCCCCTTTGGCACCAACCAAACGACCCAAGAAGGAGACACTGCCACAGGCTTCGGCGCAGGGAGCCTGACGGCGAATGGCGCTGGCCTGAGTCGGGAGCTGGGATTCAAGTGACATATCGGTGGAAATGAGTTTGATGTTAGGGTTCGCGCAATCTTGGAGGATGCCCCCACAAAGACTCAGGAAGACCAAGAAGATTCGAAGCTTCAAAATCACATGAATGGGGCTTTGTTAGGTTTCCTCCATTTCCCTTCTTGGAAGCTCCAAAAGTGGCAGTTTCAATGGAACCCCCCAGCAAAGTGCAACTCCTGAAGGAAGGACAAATCCAGTGACCCCTGTAAAATCCTGTGAATATTGGCCAGAATCGAGGAACACAACTTTGGGTTGCGGGAGGTAGATGTGAGGCCTCTTGAACAGCAAGACCCAGTGTGTCTTCTTTTGGGGGGAACCCCCGGAGTGAGTTTTGGAAGGGAAGCCGCAGAGGATCTCATTGCCATTATGAGGGGGTCCGTTTCCCGACTTTGAGGCAAGCCTCATGTTTGGTCTGTTGACGCTTTCCTACACAAAGTGCTACCTGTTCGAGACGATGTTAGATTTTTAAAGTTTTCCACGATGGTTCTCAGGTTTTCTCTGAACCTTAGCGTTCGTGGCCGTTGTTTCCACAAACCACCATTTCGCGCCCGCTCGATATTCGCATTTCGCTTAGTGCTGTCTATCCAGGACGGATGCATCCTTTTCAGCGAGCAACACGGTTTGCAGTGCTGTAGCGAGGCAAGAGACAATGAAGCCCAAATGCTGCTGGATCCAACTGATGGCAGAAAACTTAACTGTCTTGGGGCAAGAGAACTAGGCATAGCACACGCCTCCCAAGATTCGCGATTTGCTCCTGCCCCTGCCCTTCTTATCTTTGCTTTTCCAATGACAACGGTGCTGCGCTCGTGAACAAATACGAGCTCAGCGTTAGAAAAAACAACTCGCCATAGCTGGCGTTTCGCGTGGCTCCAATTTGGGGATCGCGGCATGGCTGCTGAAATGCTGAAAGCCAGGGCAACCCAATCCGACACGTTCGGAACAATTCCGTTCCCTTCTTTTCACCACAAGAGAGGCTTGATTGCGCCACCGGATTGCGGTCCCAAGGCTTCGATCCGCCGTTTTGTTCATGGATTTCCTGCTTGAGGCTGTTTGAAAAGGGAACCAACGACCAATGAAAAGGTGAGGCCACCCCAAAAGGGGAAACCGCCAATAGGGGACAACCACCGAGCTTGGAGTCGGCTCCTCGATTTGGAGGACCCATTTTGAGACGGGCCCTGAGCCCAGGGCCTATGGGGACATCGTCCAGGTCGGGCCCAGCGAGGCGAAGCCGTACCTTTCGGGGCGGTGGTTGATTTTGGTCTCCGAAGCCCACGGCTTTTGGCGTCACCTTTTTGGGACCCCCCCCCAAAAAAAAGAAGGAACAAGACAATTGGGTATCTCAAAGAAGGCGAGTCTCAACTTTTGGGTGAATTCCCCCAAGCAAGAGCATGGCTTGCCGGGTGCAACGAACATGAGAGGAGCGGCGGAGCCGCCGGGGTGACGATGCGCAGGGCCAGGTGACCGTGCGCTGGGAGGACTCGGAGGAGGCCACGCTGGCCGGAGGCTGAGATGGGCCGGCGTTCCGCGGAAGGGTTGGCTCATGCCGCATGGCCCATGGGCAGGTGTCCGTTTTTCTGTTCGTCTTCTTCTTCTTTTCTCTTCTTTTTTTTTCACGGGAAGAAGCAGGCGTCGTTTTTTTCTTCTTCTTTTTCTCTCCCCCACAGGAAAAAGCAGGTGGATGAAACAGGGTTGCTCTCTCCTGTGCCTCTAGATGATGAAGAAATAATGTTTGGGTTGAAGAAATCCCCGTTGATCGTATCACACAAGGGCGAGTTTCCACAGACATGTTTTCAGAGACTGGACGGCAGCTTCCCCCGCTCCCTTTGACAATAGTCCGCTTGGGTGGGGCTTGTTCACCCTTTCAGGCAACCCTTTGTGGTAGGTAAGTCTTTCTTGTAGGTTTGTGCCACACATTGTTGGGTGGTTTTGCCTTTCAACACAATCCCTTTCCTGGCCTCTTTTTTGGGCTGATTTTACTTCAACAAACACCATTTGCACAAGCATGATACATTCACCGGGTGTATTGTATGAAATTAGGGGGGTTATGAGTTTAAGGGACCCTAAACAGGTTCTCATCAACGGGTTCCAGCTTGTGCCAACGGACACTCATGTGTATAGCATCCTAGATCTGAACCCATTCACGGCCACCCATGCATGGGGAGCAAGCTGGAGGGAGCTCAGGTGAATGTCTCCTCGGGCGAGGCCTGCTGACTGGCGCGCGACGTGGTTGTGGCCACGCTGATGGTGCAAAGAGCGAGTTCCCACCTGGGAGTTTCCTTGTCGTCCCTTCCAGCAACTCCCTGATGTGGCTATGTTGGTAGACATGAATCCCATAAACAAACGGTGTTCACCCAAAAAACCTCCCCTATCAAAGTTCACCCAGGTGTGCAACTCAGAGTTGGGCAAGTTTTGTGTAAGCAGCCAGCCACTGGCCTTTGAGAGACCAAGAGGCCTGAGTAAACAGTCTGAATCGCCCAACCCGTGCGACTCCTGCGCACATGCCAGAACCGCCGGTTTTCGCTGGCGTGTTTCGCTGGCGGTTTTCGCCAGGTGGAGCTCGCTGAAGCGGATGCCGCGCAGGAGCTACTGGGGCGTCCGGAACCCCAGGCGTTGGTCCTTTTTCCTGTGGAGGGTCCCTCTAAATTCGTCGAACCAACGAGCCAACGAACACACGAACGAACCAGCCAGCCAGCCAGCCAGCCAGCCAGCCAGCCAGCCAGCCAGCCAGCCAGCCAGCCAGCCAGCTAACGAAGCAACGAACAACAAACGAACGAACGAGCGAGCCAGCAAGCGAGCCAGCCAACCGACCCAGCCACCCACCCACCCACCCACCCACCAACCCACCCACCCACCCACTCACCCACCCACCCACCCACCCACCCACCCACCCACCCACCAACCCACCCACCCACCAACCAACCAACCAACCAACAACCAACCCACCCACCCACCAACCAACCAACCGACCGACCGACCGACCAACCCACCAGCCAGCCAGCCAGCCAGCCAGCCAACCCACCCACCAACCAACCACCAACCAACCACCAACCAACCACCAACCAACCACCAACCAACCAACCCACGCACCCACCCACCCACCAGCCAGCCAGCCAGCCAGCCAGCCAGCCAACCAACCAACCAAGCAACGCCAACAGCCAACGCCAACCAACCAACGCAAACCAATCAACTTCACCAAATCAACGCCGACCGACCAACCAACCAACCAAACAAACAAGCAACCAAACAACCACCAACCAACCAACGCCAAGCGAGCGACCGACCGACCGACCGACCAACGCCAGCCAGCCAGCCAGCCAACCAAGCAAGCAATCAAGCAAGCAAGCAAGCAGCTTGGGAAATCTTTGCCCTGAAGGTGCTTAAGGTGCCTTTCAGCAAAACGGGGCTCATGGGCCGACCTTTCTAACAGGCAAGGCAACCTGCAAACGCACGACGGCAATTCCTTTCTTAAGGCGTAAGGCCTTACCCCCCATTTTGTGATCGTCGTTCTTGTTGACCACACTTGTGTTAATCGTACTTGAGGTCGTTCCACCCTACTACCAACAAACATTTGGAACTGGTTCGTTTGCCTTTCCTGTAGTCATGTTTTCCTCAGTTGTTTGCCTCAAGGGTCGCGCCCTCACAGGCCGATATGTGTAGATCGTCATATGCCCCCCACAAGCATGCAAAACATACAGACTCTGCTTTCATCGTTTTCTATGGTCACCCATCCCTGTGAAGGGGCGAAGTCTGGGGGAGGATCCAAAAACGGTGAAATTCAAAAAGGACAAGTCAGAAAGGGGGCCGGTTCAAGCAAGAAGGCAAGAAGCAGTCAGAACACCCCCAGCCCCCGCCCAAGTTGAGACCGAGGCTTAGCAGAGGCGCGAACCTCCGACTTGCCCGGGGCCCCTCCCGCGGTTTCCCGCCGGCCCGGGGCACTCTCCAATCTCGGCGCATCTGAGCGGCGGGCTCCCGGGTAACTTTTCGCATATGGTGAAAGTCATCCTTTTTGTGGTTTCCCTGATGGTTGTCCCATGTAAATTCGATCACATAGGGCACGTCCCAAATAGGGCACGTAAGGCCTCAACGGTTGAGGGGCTTTGGGTGAGGGGTCGGGGCTATAGGTTCCCTGATCCTGGTTTCATGTGGATTGTCATAAGGCCTACATGCGCGTGACCATCTGTTTTGATCGGTGTTCAAAGGGAAGCCGGAAGGAGGTTTCGGGTCCGATGTCTATTTAAGAGACGCCTGTGCAAAACCTTTCCCAAACGAACTTTACCGCTGACCTTTTGGTTTCCCTCAACCGCCTATGAGGGGGTCTATCGCATGGTTGCGACACCATCTGAGGCTTTGTGGCCATCCAAGAGCCACTGAACCTTCTGGAAATGGGCGGTCCCTACTGAGGGCGGAGGCGGAGGCTGAAGAGGGCCCTGATGCCGTGCTCTTCAGCCTGGAGGTAGCGCGGACTTGGCCTGAGCACTTTCAACATTGCCATTTTAGGATGTGTTTTGAGGGGTTGCCTTTTTGGAAGCTGCAGGAAAGCCAGCCTTTCAGAAGATTCCCTCGCGAGACGCAGCACGGAGCTTTCAGCGGCGAAGTTGCGAGGACGTGAGGGAGGAGCTTGAGGCCTTCAGATGGATCAGCGAAGAGGCGTGCCTCGATGGCTAGCGGTGCCGAATGCATCCGCCTCGACCGGAGTTGAGGTCCGAAATTGGGGCCCGTTTAAACGGGTGGATGGTTTTTGGTTGTCAGTTGAAAGGAACCAAGCAGAACATCGATTCAACAAGAAAAAGACACTCCCAGATGTTTGTCCGGGTTCCCTGTTGAAGCTCCAGCAGCGGTTTCCTATTTGTGCATATATCAGCAATCTGACGAAATTTCCTTAAAAAAAGGTTGAAGCCAAGGGTGGAGAAGGGAGTTCCTCTTGCTTTCTTTCTGCAGGGGCCAAGTTTCTATGTCAGGGTCTTGCGAACAACCTTTCGAGCAACCCCGCCAAAAAAAGGCGACTGATTTGGTGAAAGGGCCGAGCAACGACTCCGAGAACCTCTTTGGGCTGGCCTTAAGGACATGGACGCACCAAAGTTTCCCTGAGGGCAAATGGCACATGGCCTTCAGCGAATGGAATCGCAGCCCCTCCCCCCCCCGCCGAGCTCTGGGGGCTCGCCTGGCCCAGCGCAACCCTTCTAGGCGTTGATTTTCAGGGGGACCCCCCCCCAACAAAAAGGGCTTGCCTCACGTGTTTGGTTTTTATGAGGAGTTGCTAGGCTCAGAGTTCCTTGACAGTCGGCTCCATGCCTGCTCCTTCAAGCACATCTCTGTTAGCTCCTTGTACATGGACGACACTTGTCTAGCTTCAGGTTAAGTTAATTCCTCGACACATCGAACGGCACGCTGGTTTCTTTGGAGAGCCCCGAGTGCGTCAGAACTACTTGTTTGCCCTGGAGGACATGGGACTGTTCGGACTTGCCCTAGCCGTGGTTTGGAGCAGATTTCAGGGGTTGTAGGCGTTTTTAGATTTCTGGGCAGACAAAGTATGGACCAGAGTCTGAATTATTGTTCGTGTACCTCTCATTTGGGCCGTGTAAAACTATAGGTTGTTCAACTGTGCAGCGTGGTCTTCACGGAAACTATTGGGGTTCCGTGTTTTTGTTGTTACCCCCTTTCCGGGGCAATATGATCTGCCAGATTCATTGATCCAGGTTCAGGATTCCCCCCGTGAGAAAACAGGAGATACAACGAGGTTGCAGCCGCCTCCCCTCCCCCCCATTTTCAACGGTCAACCTTACGTAGTTGCAGCATGATTGTTATTCTGCTCTTTTGTGATAGGTTCTCATGTGAGACGTGTTGACCCCTTGAGGGTTGTTGACCTCCGCGGTTCTTAGGGATCCCTGTCGGTTTGGCCGGTTTGGCCCATTGAAGATGAGTTTCTGTCATGGGTGATAGATTCTGCCAGCTTAGTGTCCCCTATAGAGCTCGGATGTTCTGAGCATCCATAGAATTTACCCCTCCCGACATGGAAAGACTGGAAGACAATTTCTTTACAAAGGGCCCCCTTGTGTCAGCTTCCATGTTGGAGGGAGGGTTTCAGGATCAAACCCTTTCTTCATACCAAACTCGATTTCGTTGGACATGTGTATACTAGACGGACCCTGGTGTGACCCATGCAAGAGTGGGTGTCTTGCACATATTGTACAGGCTTCTCCTTCGGTTCAAACAATTTAGGTCACTCCGACCTCGGGGTTTCCCCCTGCCCGACCTCATCATGGGCTCGGCTGGGGTCGCTGCGGGTCAGGTCATGCACCGGCGCAACGAGCTGCGCGACCTGGAGGAGGAAATCAACCGCATGCCGTGCACAAAAGTCGGCGCGGAATTTGAAGTGTGAATCAACCAAGGAATTTGAAGCCCTTTCCCTGTGTCAACTAGCTGATTTGTTCAAAGGTTTGTTTTTCATTAAAGTCACAAATGCATGCAGATGCAAAGACAAAACAATGAATTTGTGGCCTTGGGCCCTGGGCTCCTTCTGAACGGTGACATGTCCCTTCTACCTGAACCGCCAAATACGAGTTTTCAGCTTTTTGGTGGTCCGCCTTTCTTTACATCAAGAAACCGGCAGAGACGTTGCCCTGATTTCAGCTTTCCATTTCCGGCGGGGTGTAAGGTTGCGCGCGTTCCGACTCCCTCGGAACCTGACTGGAGGTTCTTGCTGGACCGGGCTCGAAAGGGGTACGAATACATATGGGTCATTCTAACATGGTGGACCCCCTTTGGGTTGGTGTTTAAAGGGAAGCCCAGAAAAAATCAAACTATTTTAGGGTACCTCTATTTTGAGAAACATATATATATATATATATATATATATGTGTATTGATATTTAAGCCAGGCGAGCCGCTTGCAATCTTTCGGGAATGAACCGTAGCGGCGAGACCTGGGACACGGCGTAATCTCGTGAGGAGAATCGACAAATCCGCGAGGACCGCGGGGCAATCAAGCGGGCGACTGTGGTTGGAGTTGGTGTTTCGGCCTTTGACCTTTTTGGGTTCCATGTTGGTTTTGCAGAAGCAAGAGGTCATTGTCATTGAGTGCTTTCAGAAGCAAGAGTTTTGTGCTCCCCTGCAAAGTAACATGAACCCCTTTTGGGGTTCCAGCTCAGCGTGCTTGGCGATCGCATGTCCTGAAGTCGTGGAGAGTGCATGTCCGGGCGCCTTGAGGTCGCCGGAAAACCCCTAAACCGGTGGTATTCCCGTGTACAAGAACCAGAGGTTCACCAAGGAAGGTATACCGGATTGAGAATGAGTGATTGGGCAGGGCGTTGCTTGACCCTTAGACCGACCACTCTGACAAACACGGAGCCAACAAAAGAGGTTTAGGGGGAAAAATGGCTAAATAAACCTCGGCCTCAACCCGAGCTCTTGATTTGCAGGAGCAGGAGCTTGCGCGAAGACAGTACGAAGAGATGATCGAAGAGGCAGGGAGTCGGGAGTCGGGGTGTCACTGCAAAGCAGCACTTGGCATTCACGACCGCTCTATTTTGGATACTAGGTCCCCCAGTAGTGCCCTTCTACCCTTTTTTTGGGGGAGGGTTCCCCTACAAAAAAAAGGGTACCCTTATTCTAACCTCTCTACTGGAGGACCTCGGATAGGTAGTTGACTCTGTTGAGGCCTCTCTACGGCCGTTTTTTGTATATCCCATGGGAGAGGAAAGGGAAACCACTGTTCCGAAATGTTGGTTCCGGATTTAAAGTAGAAACCTGTGGATTATAGGCAACGCTTCCCCAGAACTGGTGTGTTTTTGTCTCTTACATGGGACACGCCCAGCAAAAATCGGACCAGGGGCTTATTGAGTGCCGGGCCCATGCTCCCGGAGCATGTTGGGGAGATGGAGGGGGACAACCCACTTTGTCTGGAATCCTTAAGGGGGGTAGGTAAAGGGGGGTGGTAGTCGAGTGCCCTAGGGTTTGCTAGGGTTCCCAAAAGCTCCTTAGGTTCCTTAGGGAGGCCTAGGGAACCCCTTGGACCACCCTTTATTTAGGGACTCCTTAAAGTTTCTGTAGCTTCTTGTCAGGTTGTTGCTCCATAGCATCGCCTCATAAAGTTTTTGTAAACCCGGGGCCCTGTAACAAATATTTTCTTATGAACAACACCGGTGATATCGGTGCAGGAAATTCCCAACTGGTGTGGGGCAAGTTGCAAAGGACCAAAGGCACCCAGGGCTCGGAAGTGCCTTGGCTCTCCCTCAGGCAGAGTTGGCGCCCGGATGCTCGGCGCGGCAGGTTCCAGGCCAAGGAAAACAAAGGGCTGTGGTTGAAATGGAGTCCACGAATCTGTGATACACAGATAGATGCTCAAAGACTAACCCCCCCATTTTTAAGGGGAGATTCCCTTTCACAGAGGTGGGAATATACAAAGCAGTTGATCCCACACCCCTGAAACAGTGTTTTCGATGTTGAAGGATACTCAGTAGTCCAACGCCGGGCCTTGCTTTATTTGTTTATCTGGCTTGCCGTGGCCTGCCAGTTCAGGTCTGGAGATCTGGGTCCGCAAGCGACGTGAAGCGTCCGGGGAAAAGCGCCCGTCCCGTTGCTTGATGAATCGCCACGCGGGCCGCACTTTTCTGGTGTTTTTGTTTTACCAATCCTGGGTTTCACATGGGGGTTGATTTTTGGACAAAACAACCTTGGATTTTATTGCAAAGGAAACACCATGTTTCTGGAAGGTCAAGCTGGTCAATGATTGGATCCCGGGCTTGCAATGTTGGGCCTATTGGCATCTTTCTGTGAGACGCGGGCTTCCCTTCAAAGAAGCATCCCGCCAAAAACTGGAGGAATCAGCATAAGCCACCCAAATCACGGAATCCACTCAAAAGGCCGGCAAGAATCTTTGTCCCTATGTGAAACCACTGGTGCTGAAGGCAATTGAGCCGTTGAAAGACACATGCCATCCAGACGTCCGAGCGGAACCCGTCATGTGCAGCTTCAACTTGCGCTGACAGACACATGGACCAGTGGACGCAGCAAAGACGCTGAAGCTCATGGCCAGACAAGGCAATCCGCATCGACCGTCAAAGGAGCCGGTTTTCTAGGTTTCCCAGACGCAAGTGGCCTTTTTCGCTAAGAGGCAGTGAGGCGGACGGGTGGAGAATCGGATAAGTGGAAATTGCGCTTTGCACCTTCCGCGTTCCCGTCCGTGCGCCCTTGGCGCCGTTCGCGGCTCCTTGGCTTCATGGCCAGTTATGCCTGGCGCTCGGAGCGTTTGGTGAGACGGTGCCGCTGCCTTACGGATTTATTGGGGGTTCCGGTACTGCTATTTGAGCGACTGGACTAGATTGCTCTTTGGTTCACTCTTTCGGCCTAAGCTTTGGTAAAGGACTGTTGCACGTAGAAAGGCAATACTTGTACCCTTTGAAACTTGGAGCACAAGCATGGAAGTGCCTGTTGTCTCAATTTCTTGCACGGGGTGCAGTTGAACCAAGCCGGATACGGTACCATCCCCGCGTGTTGTTTGGGGCTAGCGAGCACTTCGGATTCTAGTTGCTTGTTGTAATCAAGTTTGTTTCAAAGTATGTCTTACATGTTGCTTTTGAGGGAAGAGGGGAGGGGTCTTTTGTTGATGGCGTCCGTTTTTGGGCAGTTTCGGGTATCCAAAGGGAAACCAAAGCCCATTTGGTTGAGGACAACCAAGTGCTAGAGGTTGGCAATTATTCTTTGACATCGAGGGGTACACAACTTGCCCATCAGGGATGTTTCTTTCCAGAAGACCGCCAAACAACCCGAGGGAAATGGCCGGTTTTCGAACAGCGCGACGATTGAACATTATGCAGAAGGAATCAGCCACCTAAGCCCAGTTGTTCAGTGCCACTCTGTTTCCATTTTGCTTGGTGGATTCGATTCCCCACTAACAACCCAGTTGCCCAAAGCCGACCTTTTTGACCTTTTGGTGTTCCACGTTTCAATAGTTCGTCAAGGTCACAAAAGGTGAATCTTGTATTTCCAGGTTCCTTGGGCAAGTGAGAAAGCCGTCCAGCCGAGAGAGCCTCCAAGGGCTCGCCGGCGCCCAATGCCAGCGGTCCCAATGGGAGCCGATTTACCTCGGCCGGAGCCTTGGGACGCGGAAGGATTTGCCGTGGGCGGTTAACATGATGGACACCCCGTTTAATATCCCCCCCCTTTCTCCCCCCCCTCAAGGTCACTATTTTTTTTGAGGGCCCCCCCCCAAAATGAAAGGGGAACCTTGTGAAAATCATGAGGTCGTTTGGTTTAATACTAGCCCCCACAACCTAACTCTAGTTATTTGCGCGTGTCTCTGTTCGAGGGTACCCTTTTTGGGGGTTTAACTGGAACCCAACTTTCGGCCAGGCGCCCTTTCCTTGCGGGTACTCCTAACCTGACCTGACCTTCCGATTCTTGGTGGGGTCTGCAACAAATCTCAACCAGATGTTGCCTTATCCTTGTTCCACCAATGATGGAGGTGGAGCGGCCTATTCAAGAGGATGGCAGTCTTCCGAAATCTGACACAGTCCACTTCCATGTTGCAAAGATGCGAAACATTCAAGACTTCCCTCGAACCCAATTGGGAGGTCAATGCCAGGGGACGTCAGGCCTCCGGTTGGTTCGTGTGTCCCTTAAAAGGGACGTGGTCCTGTCATGTGTTGGTGCCACCATCCGGCTCCACATGCTGGCATGGTTACTTCTAGGTCCCTTCGAGTGATCATGTTGAGGTTTTCCCAGAATTACGATTCTTTGCACCACCATTTGGACCGTAATTAGGATGTCGCTTTGAAGGGCATAGTACTTCGCGCCTTGCTGTGATGAATAGGAAGTAGGAATGGGGGAGGAAACCTTGACCAGCCCTCGGAGCTAGAAGGACTTTGACCCTAGCATGGGGTCTTCTTTCTTAACTTCCACGATTCTGTCTGGCTGTGTCTGTTCGTCCGTTCATCTATCCGTCCGTCTCTGTGTGTGTGTGTGTCTCTTTGTGTCTGTCTGTCTGTCTGTCTGTCTGTCTGTCTGTCTGTCTGCCTGCCTGCCTGCCTGCCTGCCTGCCTGCCTGCCTTCCAGTGGTTCTGTCTGTCTGTCTGACTGACTGTCTGTCCGTCTGACTGGCTGTCTGTCTGTTTGTTTGTTTGTCTGTCTGTCTGTCTGGTGTTTTTCACCATGAAATACGCGGTGCCCTGGGCCTATACTCGAGGCGCGAAACCTCTTTGGCAAGTGTTCGTTTCGTTGCACTTGGTTAAACGTTTGCCTCTGAGTTGTTAGCCTGCCTTCCCTCGGTTGGTGGGTTAGCTTATTTTTTGGTTATTTGGGTGTTTGGTTTCCCTTCAGAACCATCTACCCTCATAAAAAAGACCGACCCATTTGATCCCATTTGCCTTTTCCTGCTTTGTGTGTGTGTGTGTGTTATTTTTCCCGCTCAGCGCGCTCCTTCAGGTGGCGGAGGCCGCGCAGTCACAGAACATCGCCCGGGCCTTGGCGCAACTTTTATTCCCTAAACATGGTGCGTGTGTGTGTGTGTGAACATGAAGGGCTCATCATTACACAGTATTGTTTCATGGGCTTGATGTTGGAATATAGATACAGCGCGTAAATAGCGTGTGTGTGTGTACATGTGTGCAAGTTGCTGGGTGTTATCCACCCCCTACCTGATCAACGCCAAAAAACCCAGCGGAGCGCCTGCCTGTTGATTTCCCTTTAACATGAACCAAGTACCCTCACAAAAAGTAGATTTAACAACTGTCAGGCCTTGATGGCTCAGTGGGCTTTGGCGTAGCCCCTTCCATCGTTTTCGTCATCTTAGGACGCGGTGCTCGAAATGCTCGCCCAGGGCTACAGGGTGGATAGCCAGGCGTGACCCACGGCGAACCCGGTCGGTGCGAGTTTTTTTGCCAGGGCTCGCTGGAGGGCAGGTGTTACGGGTTGCACACCATCCAGGTTCTGTGAAACGAGGTCACCCAGCTGAAGGTCCTTTTATTCCGAGCTTCTTGTTCCAGTTTGGGAATTGCAGGTTGCACATTGATAAGTCGATTGTGAAATTGTGCCACGAAAGCACCATGTCACAGAATGAGCCAGTCGGTACCTATCATTGATAAGTACAGGCCGGCTCATCATGTGACATGGTGCGTTCGTGGCACAATTTCTTCATCGCCTTATAGCTGTTTGCAGGCATGCTATGCTTCACGAGTTCCGGGCTCACTGCAGTCGCCTTTTCTTTGTGTCTTTAAGGGCATGGTATTTCGCTGGTTCTCCATTGCGAATCAACAAGATCACCAGGGATCACCAGGGATCACCAGGGATCACCAGGGATCACCAAGGATCACCAAGGATCACCAAGGATCCCAAGCATCAAGGGCTTTAACAATTCAGCTTTGGTTTCCCTACAAAGAAACCATATGGGATGGTTCAGTTTCAGGTCTTCAACGTCCCGGAATCTGGAACCGCGGCACGCCAGGGGCCGGACGGCAACACCGCGTTGCACTGGGTGGCCTGGTTCAGGCAGATCGATGGGAATGATCAACCGGGGAACCATTCCTCTTTCGCCTTCCCCCCACCGCCTTGGTTGGTGAATCATTTCCATTCTAGGCTTTGCTGGTCAGTGGATCCCATGCCAGCCACAAAGCTTCTTTGAGAAAACCACCAGCCTCAAAGGGTGCCCTCGTGGAAAGGCGTGAGACTTTTCGCATGCTTTAGGGACCCGAAGAGAAAAGGACAGCAGAGACCGGTGATTCAGACGATTGTCAACGGGGTTCCATTGGATGAACCCAAGGACAGACAACCCACGGGGTGGTAGATATTCCCCCAAACGGGAAAACCCTGCGGTGTAAGTCGACCTGAGCATTCCTTGACTAAACATGCAGGACGAGTGTATTGCTGAGGTACTCAGAATAGCTTCATACATGACCCATGTTGGTATGTGGGAAAAACGGGGTTGGGTTTCGTGAATTTGGCCAAGCATGGCCCCCAACCCCAGGTTCCACGAGGGAACCCCTGCGTTTTTGTTTGTATCTTCTCTTTGGGAGATTTTGACAGACCAAATGTGTTCATCATTTCTGCCACCATCCAACGTTGTCTTCTTTTCGACCCCGCAGCCTGTCTTTTGGGCCGAGAAACAAATGTGGGATTGCAAAATACTGGGTCCCCGAAAAGGATTGCACGAAAGGTTTCTGAGGCGCACAAGGGGTTGGGAACCCCTAAAATGGCTGGTTTCCTTTTAGTTTCCTTTTGCAACCCACCCAAAAAGAGGACAACCCTCAAACAGAGCGACTCTCACATCCAGGATATTCCTCCGCGGGGCACGGGCGCGATCGGGCGCGGGTTGACGTAACCCGTAGGCTGGACTCCCTGCTGAGCACGCTGCTTGAGAAGCGCGCCCGCCCGGACATCGGCAACCAGTCGGGGGAGTGCCCTGCTGGGCGCCCCAGCGGTTTTACTAAAAAGCAGGCCATCCGCACCCAAAGACAAGGGCGAGCCCCGTGTTGTGTTGGAAGATCACCGTAAAAAAATGGGCTTAAAGAATGAATCGTTTTTTGATTTTTTTTGGCGGATGTTGCGGCAACGCCCGTCTTTTCGGGCCGAGGGTGATTTTGCAACAGGAAATCCAGGGAGCCCTGCGGGCAGACGGGTTCTCCCTGGTTTAACTGGCTTTTTTTTTAACACTTACATCACCTCCTTTGGTTTCTCTTTTCAGGGCATCTTCGAGTTCACTCCTGTACCAGGTTTGGATTATGGCTCAACTGTCCATTCGCGAATCGAGCAAGCGGTAGGGGCCGTCCCTGGGACATACCTCGCGAGTGGCAATTCTCACTTGGGACTCCTCGAGCTTTTCGTGAACGGGAACGGATGAGGAACACCCCCCTCCAACTGAGGTGGATGAATCCGGGTTCAGTGCCTGCCTGCCCTTTGGGTTCCGAAATCCGAAATGGCGAACTTTTCACTCCCAACAAGGGCTTCTTTCTCTACCAGGCAAACAATGCATGAGCGAACCTCGGTAGCTTCTTTTGAGGTCGGGCACCCCTACTACATTTTCCGTGCGGGGTGCTTTGGGGGTAGTGAAATCAGTTTCAGTTTATGAAGCTCAATTGTCCTTGCACGGAATAAATTTGAACTCTTTTCGGGGCCGGGGGGGGGGGATATCCTAAAACCGCCCTCAACTGGGGGGGGGGGGGGTACGTTTTTTGTTGTTATTTGTATATATATATATGTAATATATATATATATATATATGAGAGGGGGGGACGGGACGGGAAAATCGGGGGTAGCAATTGGCTTCCAAATCGCTGGCCAGGTGCACTGGGCGGCGAAGGCCGCTAACGTCACAGCGTTGGATGCCATGACCAGGGGCAACCGCGGGCTGCTCTCGGTGGCCCGGGAGCCGAGTCCGAGGAAGAGTCCGAGTCCGGACGTCCGAGTCGGCGACAAGAAAATCGGGGCGAGTTGCCACGAAGTTTTTTTTGCTGGTGGCGATGTTGCTGGGTTGCTGGGTTGCTGGGTTGCTGGGTTGCTGGGTTGCTGGGTTGCTGGGTTGCTGGGTGTTTCAAGGTCCCCGAAAGAAATTCCTTTCTCCTCCAGTATTTGCCAAAGGTGTGCTCTTTTTCCGGCTCAAGGTCTGGGTCTTTCCCTGAGAGAGATCACCTTTGCAGCTTTGCCAGTTTTGGTGATTTGAAATGAGACCATCGGAGATCTCCCCTGAGTGGAAGTTTTGTTTCTGTGATTAGCCATGGTTCATATCATCATCAGGGACGTCGCGTTAGTGACCGACCTGTGGTGTTTTGGCTCAAGTTTTGGATCCGGCGCGCCTCGGATGAGCGTCGCCGGGCCCTCACGTCGACCGCCTTCGTGTCGGAGGAGAAAGAGACTTCGGCCCGGGGTAGGTTGGTGGGGATCGCCCGTGCGGTTCATCGTCGATCTAGGTTGCGGGTATCCTTTTCTACTTTGGTTTTTTCCCTTTTGGTTGTTGTTCTCTGGTGTGTGGGAAACCCTGATCTTTGGGACCGGGGATTGGTTTGCTTTTGGGGAACCTTTCTTTTGTGGCTTGTTTACCCCAACTTACCCATTGCCTGGGCACAGGCTCGTGCCCGAATCACAGGTTATCAGCCGTAGGACTTTCCTACGCGCTTGAGACCATCAACTACAAGCTCTATGTCGACCCCACGATCTCGCAGGAGCGTCGTGGATGAGGAGGCCATCCTAGGTGGCCTCCGCTCAGGTGAGGACCTGCCGGACTATGACTACGAGGATTTCGAAGCAGGTTCGACAGGTCAGGACCGCAGGGGTGAAGATCCCGGTAGGGATACACCCAGGGGCCGTGGCAGGTACGCCGACGATGGAGACGATCGTATTTTCCGCCAGGCCACTGATGACGAGCAGACACGAAGGGTTTACTCCGATAGGAGTGGCTCTGAATCAGGTCACAGGCGTGGACATTTTGACTTCACCAGCATGGCGATGGACATGGCCCGCCCTCATTCGGATGACCCGGAGGCCATGCCGATTCGACCTCCGAGATCTCTTGTTCCAGGTGAGTCGCAGGTCTCGGATGAGTTTGAGAGTAGGCCGCAGGGACCAGGGACTATGGTTCTGGTTCCGGGAGGTATCCCGGGCCGATCCACTGGTTCTCAGAATCCAGGTCAGTTTGATGAGCACGAGGAGCGGAAGTTCTCAGACTTCGGATACGATGATCTGTTGAAATCAACCGCAGGTTGGGGCAGTAGCTCAAAGCAGGGATCTGATGCCGGTAGGCCCAACCCTAATACTGCCAAATCTGAGTCTTATGATGGCGAAGGTTACAATTTTGCGGATGAGGAGGAGAGCCATTCGCGCCGAGATGCAGGCAGCCGTGCGACTGCAAGGACTAGTCCCGCCGCTGCCAAGTTTGAGGTCGATGATGATGACGAGTATGCCGCGTTTGCGGATCGCCGTGATGAGGAGGAGGACCAACCACGACGAAATGCTAGGATCCGTGATGCTGCGAGGCCCAGGAGCCTCTCTCGTGGAGCCGCCAGGGACCTTCGCGTTGACAGGGATGCCCGAAGCGAGAGAGAGAGAGCCAGGGACAGTCGGGAAGTTCTTCGGGGATTGGAGGCCATCCATGACCGTGAGGGACCGGTAGGTCCCCCGGCGATTGGTGATACCCCGAATGTTCCCCCTTTTCCCAACATTACGTTTGGAGGTCCGTTGAATCAGAGGGACGTGAACTCGAACCGGGTTACTGGTTCGCCGAGAGTCACTGAGCGGGTTGCCGATGTCGTTGGGAGAGGTGCAAGAGATGGCCGGCTTGCCGATGCACTCGGAATCGAGGATCGTCCGTCGATCGCTAGCCCGTTAGGGCGAGATACCAGTGACCTTGAAACGCTAAGGTCCAGCAACGAGTTCACACCTCAATGGGGCTCGACCGCCAGGGAACGTAGTGCTTCTGCGAAGAGACCGTCACCCCTGGCCATTGAGACCGATAGGTCGAAGGCGAGGAGGGCTAGCCCCTCACCAATGGACTCAACTCCGCAGGATGAGGAGATGCCTGATCCTGCTGATGTTCACATCCACTCTACTCCCGAGTCTCGTGCGTCCCATGTTGATCCCCGTTCCGGCGATAGCCGTAGAAGGGGTTCTACCCCTAGCAGGCCATCTGGGGTTGGTGATAGTCCTGTGGATGACCCCAGAAGATATGCTAGAGCTAGTGGGGCTCCTGAGAGGATCGAGATATCGACTCCTCCAGCACTCAGGTCTCATTCTTCCGGTGAATCAGGTGACGCTAGGGCAAAGGAGGTGTTCGATTTGCACATCCAGGAGATGCTCGAGAGAGGTGAGGTTTCTGGCTCAGTTGCGAAAGCTTTCCATATTTTTGCTGACCAGATCAGGTTACTGAACGGTCAAGTGAGTTCCATGCGAAGGGAATGGAGAGACGAGAATCAACAGACGAAGGACAAGGTCGATCGACTGGCAGCTGAGGTTGCGACTCAATCTGATGCCGGGAGGATGCGAATGATAGTTCAACGGTTCGCAAGGGAAGTTATTCCCGATAGCAAGGCCATTGTGAGGCAAGCCATCGATGAGCAAGCCGAGGTCGTGGAGCAGAGGATTAACCTACTGTCCCACGAGGTCCATGAATCTGTCAGGGACAATGAGGCATCGACTGATCGGCTTCGCCTGATGATTCAGGAGAATAATGAGGCTGCCCGCAGGAGCCATGCTGCTTCTGAGGACGAGATCCTTAAGGATTTGGACAAGCTTGAGAAACGGATGTTCTCGGTAGAGAAAACCGTTGGGATGCGGACACCGGCAGGTGTATGGAATCCGAATCCTGTCGCGCATCCGTCCGATAGGGCCAGCGGCAGTGTAGTCGATGCAAATTTCAGGGAGTTAAACCTGAAGATCGAGAAAGCTCTCCTTGATCACGAGACGTTTGCCAAGTGGGCCTCTGAATCTATTGAAGGGGTCAAAGAAGAGCACACTCGTCTTGTTAATCGAGTGTCTAGACTGCAGAGTGGAAGGGGTTCTCAGGAGGTCGATAGACCATCAGGGCATGATTCCCCGCAGGACTGGCATGAGGCTGTTGACGAGATCAATCGGAAGATGCAGGATCTGGCTCGAGCGTCAGCGTCGGGATCATGACGACATCATTTCTAGGTTTGAAACCGTGAAGTCACATGTTGAACAGTATGAAGCGAGATCGGCAGTTGTGAATCGGGTCGTTGATGGCATCCAAGGACAGATCCGTAATCTTCCTGCCAGCAGTGACCAAGTGCAGCCTGCCGTTAGGCGAGAGCTCGGCACATTCCGGAGTACACTTGAAGGTGTTATGCGGAGAGTCAGCGCTATCGATGGTAACGTACGTAACCTTAGCGCCGCGAACAACAGAATCATGTCCCAGCTCTTTGAGATGGAGGGTCAATTTGACGAGGCTGCTGGCATTATTCAGGGTGTCCAGCAGATTAATGAAGCTCCTCCACAACCCAGAGAAAGACGGAATGTTGGTTACCATGCATTTGCGGGGCAAGGACATAGGATCAGGTCACCGACGCCTACACCAGGGGAAGGTGACGGCCGGGGTACTGGCCTGCCGGTGAGACCAGGCGGAGGCGTTGTTTGCCTGATCATGTTTTGCCGAATGTGCCCGATAGGGTCGATCCTTCTCGCGCAGACAGGCATCCCATCTATCCCGTTAGGGAGAGGTCCGACAGCAGGAGCAGGAGGGTTCGGGGGTTGCCTGACAGGTCGCATTCGCCACCGGAGCGTGCAAGGGGTGGTCCCCGCGCGCGCGCAAGGGGGGACGTTTCTATTTCCCCCAATAGGGATGCGGGTAGGAATAGGAGCCCGAGGCCTGCTGCCGTCCCCGATAGGGGATCTGAGGTCCGGAGTCGACAACCGAGGGGGGAGAGGCCGATCCGCGATAGCGGGAGCGTCTCTCCGAATTTTGATAGGCCAATCCGCGATAGCGGGAACGTCTCTCCGAACCCAGGTCGTCATTCAGGAGGTGGTGGGGATAATAGGGTTCATGCCGACATCCAGAGTCCTGGTGATGAGTGGAGGACTCCTGGGAGTAGAGCCAGCGCCGACACCCAGAGTCCCGGCGATAGGCGAGGGACTGCTGGAGCTCCTTCGGATCGTGGACAGGCCTCAGCGCCGGCTGCAAGAGGGGGTCCGGGCGGTGATGGCCCAGACGCGCCAAAGATTTGTGCCCTCGATGATCCCAACGACCGTAGGCACCCGAATGCTGAATTCTCGTGTGTGACATGCAGTCGTGAGTTCTGCGGGCTTTGCCGTGGTGACGACGGGGACTGTTACAATTGTCAGTTCCTGAAGATGAAATGCTGGGCATGCCGCAAGAATGCTCAGGAGGTCTCCATGTATCTCTGTACGGATTGTGGGACTCACGTCTGTGAGAATCACAGTTACTTCGGAAATGACGGCCTTGAGCGATGTGCACGCTGCAATATTCGGCATGAACGCGCTCAAGCTGGACCGCCCCCTCCTCCTCCTCCCGGGGGAGGTGGTGGGCAAGGCGGACCACCTGGTCAAGGTGGGAGCGGAAGTGGTGGGCATGGACATGCCCCAGCTCCACCGCCAGGTCCTGGGATTATGGTGGAGGCCAAGATCCCGCTGGGCCTTCTGGAGGCCCGAGTGGAGGGGCTCCTACCGGGGGTTACCCTGGTGGAGCGCCTGGGTTCCACGGTAGTGCTGCGGATACTCATGGAATTGGGAACAATCAATGTGGTTCCAGTTTCTATGGTCCTGCCTACGGAGGTGGCGTTAGTCACCAAGGGGTTGGCGCTGGCGTTAGTCAGTCTTGCAATGCCACGGGTTACCCCTCAAGTGTTGCGAGCGGTGGTAACCTTGGGCCGGGTCTTAGCCTCGGCTATAGTGTGA